ACACACACACACACACACACACACACACACACACACACACACACACACACAAAACACATGGGCGCACACACAAACACACACGCATGGGTAGACACACACACGCGCTTGTGTGCTCATGAACATACACTGATTTTGAAGGTATCTGTACACATTGACAAAGTATATAAATGAATTATTACGCTGTGACATTATTGGCCAACCCCCAACAATTCTTCGTTCATTCACAGATAAATTTGACCAGTTCTGGTCGGTGAACAAACGACTGATGGAGAACAGTGGGGAGAAAGCCTTCATGTTTGTCCCTTTCAGGATCTACAGAGTAGGTTTGGTGGGTGGTTGGCAGGTGCTCTGGTGTGGTTTGCTTCTTATTTCCGATCAAACATCTATGGTCTTTATCTCCCCTTCTTCTTTTTTGTATTTTAAATTTCTTGTAACACCTCTAATCTCCGGCACTTATATGACCTTATTGTGTTGCTAGTGCTGTAAAACTCTTACTAATACTAAGAGTAGGTTTGGAAGAGTTGCAGTCTTGTTCTGTAATATTGACACATAATGAAATGCCCTTCTGGTGACTAAATTTGCCATATTACATGTTGGGATTTTCTTTTTTCTGATCAACGTTGATGGGCAATCTATAGAGACATTAGCTGTTTACAGCTGGAAATATTGTCCTAGATGGCGTCTGGGTCTTGTCATTCCTGTTTTCTCACTCAATAAATTTATATTTTTGTCTAGCCTCGGAGATTGTAAATATTTGGCAAATGATTCTTTTACTTGAAATTCTCTTCCACACCCTCAAATTGATATGAAATAACCTTGTTTTGAAAAATTCATGGTTTTTATTTCAGCATTCTAGGGTCCCACAGTATAATAATAATGGGTGTCTCGCGAAAATGGTGTCTGTCGCGATCACGCGGAAAGTTCCTCCCTTTTAAAAATTCTGGGTTGAGATCCATGTAAAGTGGGTGGTTGGTGGGTGCTCTGGTGTGGTTTGCTCCTTCTTTCCTATCAAACATCTATCGTTCTGATCTGTCCTCCTTTTTTGTGTTTGTTCCTCTCTTGTAACACCACTATTCTTCGGCACTTATATGACCTTATTGTGTTGCAAGTGCCGTAAAACTCTTACTACGACAACAAAAAAAGTATTTTTCCGTCTGTGTGTTGTGTCACAGGCTGACCAGATCCCAGTCCAGAAGTTGTTCAAGCCGTGTGCAGACAGTGGGGAAAGTTTGACGTTACGACATTTGCTCAAGACAGCGGTGCCCGAACTGATGGAGACTGGTGAGAGTGTGTTCATGTGTCTGTCTGTGTGTTTGTTTGTCTGTCTGTGTGTGTGTGGGTGTGTGTGTGTCTGTATGTCTGTAGATGTGTTGGCTAGAATTGCTCGTTTGTTGTGCTATATATCGGTACTCAACATGAAGTTTATCTTGGAAATTTTGATGGAATTATGGTAAACTTCAAATGGCTTGAAAGATGAGCTTTTCTGTGTATGGAAGTACATTTTGTTATGTAAAAACAAAGAGAGATGACAGAACAATGAACAAAAAATACATTGTCGTAAGTTATGCTTAAATCTCTCTTGTATGTACTTATGTTATGACAGAACAATGGACAAATACATTGTCGTAAGTTATGCTTAAATCTCTCCTGTATGTACTTATGTTATTATGTCATGACAGAACAATGGACAAATACATTGTCATAAGCAATGCTTAAATTGTTATTCTTACATTCGTTGCAAATTTTAAAAAACAAAAGTTTCTTCTCCCCAGATGCCCTGATCAGTTCGAGAGTCCTCATCCAGGGGATCGAACCCCCTCTGGACACACCTGTCTGCTGGTTGAGTGAGCACCTCAGCTACCCCGACAACTTCCTGCACATTTGTCTCATGCCCCGCGTGGAAGTCGAGAGTTAATGGGGGCACGACCTATGACCTAAATTTGTTGCCCGTAGTCTATTTGTGTCAGGACGTGATGGAATCAGGCAGCCGTCAATTTTTAGGCATAGTTATTGGTATAATCCTAGAGCTTGTTTATTTGTCTTTCTTTCGGGGGAAAAATAGCCATCTGTCATAAATATCGAAGTGGAGATATTTGCAACTGAAGGAGGTGGGAACAACTGTTTTCTGGGGTACAATTTGCGAGAAAATGAGTGCCAAAGTTTGGTAACTTCTATAGCTTTAGCATCCTTGAAAACTGAAAATGTATGTATTGTGTGCTATTAATCGACGTGTTTCAGTGAAATTCACATGCAAATGTATTTTTATGTACACATAAAAGGTGTTGAGCCAAATAACAAAAATTCGACAAAAATTGCCGAACTGTAGCAAACGTGCTTGCTTCATTGAATTGATTATTTTGCCGAGCGCCTGATTTCACCGCAATGCCTCCCATATATAGAAGTAGAGACTGGTGTACATAGAAGCAGCAAGGAGAAGCAGCGTGAAGCTACGTACGGCTAAATAGACGAGTTATCGAACTGATCTGGGGAGCTTTTCGGACACAACGTCGTTATCCTTAGCTCTGTTGAAGGATGAACAGATACCCCTCAGGTGCGCTGATGATAGACTGAGGAGGTGAGGGGGGGGGGGGATGATTTCCCATCCCCTTATGAAATGAAAGTTTATATTTTTAGATTTTTTGCCAGTTCATTGTAAAGAACGTTCAGAGATGTTTCAATGCATAATAGAAGAACCTGTCCAAAGTATCTGCTCAGATAAAAATGGTTATCTAAACAGCTGGTCCTATTTAACAGTGTCAGTATACTATTTTTTTTTTTTTAACGCAAAGGGATTGGGGGGGGGGGGGGGGATGTATGCTGTTTGCTAGTTTGTGATCACTTGAGGAATTTCCTGGAAAGGTTTGAGGCTAACCGTGCTTGAAGAGCTGGGTTTTGGTCGTTTGGATTTGTAAATAAAAAAAATTTTTTAGGGGGGAGGGGGTGGGGGGGGGGGGTGTTACTCAACCCACTATGAGCTCTTTGTTTGTTTAGCTTTTAGGAGATGAAAGGATATATTTAAAAGCCCAAATAGGACTTGTTATCAAGATATGTGTTGACCTGAAATCTTGTGGGTAGTGTAGGAGTTACGTTGTACACGTTTCAGCCGTCACTTTTCTCCGTCTTCATCCGTCTTCTGTCCATCTCATGTTTTCCCTAGAAGAACTTGTAGTGTGGAGTTGTTTAGCTCGCGATGTCCACGTACTGCTTCATATGACCTTATGCAGTTGTGAGTGCCGTAATACCTTACTAAAACTACAAACACTTACTGCTTGCCTGTCAAACCACGAACCTTTGCTCTCTTTACCATGACAAGAGTTTTGTAGGTTGGCGGAGAGCTTGCCATTGACCAGGTAGTTATGTAAACGACGCTTTTCTGCACCACTTTTCATGAAACGATAGAGAGTACTGAACAAACGTGTGGGAGAAGTGTTGATGTGAAGTTGTCGTGCAGTTATGCCTTTCTTACTTGCTGCAATTTGACAGGGTTTTTAACATTCTGATTATTGTTCAAAGAAAATCATGTTGCTCTCCTAGTTTGAGCACTCGGAACAGGGTGTGATAGTTTTTGAAAATTGAACCCCCCATGCCTTGAATTAGGTAGCATTTTTATTTTGTGTAGGCCTCTGTGTAGATATTCCTAATGTGTGGTGTTTGATTTGTGCCGAGAGAAAGATAAGTGCAAGTCATAAGGTTGGGGAGAAAATGAACAAATGAGTTCGAAATAAATTGACAAAAGAGAGAATGACAGAGGGAGAGAGATAGTTGTTTTTTTAAACCACAGACATTTAAAAAAATGAAACTTGGAGTCTGTGTGTAAAGACTCCCAACTTTCCCTTCAAATCCAAAATATGCCCAGACTGGATTTGTTCACTTTCTTTTTTTGACAGACGCCTTTTGTCAAAACCAGGCCATGGGATGACACTGGTGGGAGGTCCTAGTTCTTTTTTGTACCTTGATTATTTCTGTAATATGTCTTCTTATTCATTATATCTGTAATCTATCTTCTTATTCATTATTTCTGTAATATGTCTTCTTATTCATTATTTCTGTAATATCTTCTTATTCTGTGTGCTCTGCCCAGTATACATGAAGATTGTGAAGCACATAGAGCTTGCTGTTGAGCAGGAATATGTGCTGTACAAATGCCATCTGTCTGTCTGTTTGTCGATTTAGTTTTGTACAACTCTGTTCAACTGTCGGTATGTTTGGCCATTAATTGTTTCGTTTACACTCCTCTTTCTCCTTACTTCAACTCCCCCACCCTCCCACCCCTCGTAGCCGTGATTTTCAATTTACATTTTTTCATTTCATTTCAGAAAGCCTTATCCTGTTGCTGACTATGTGTTTTTCATTCCAGAACTATTGTAAGATGAGTGAAAGTTTTTCTGAGAAATAATCTATACTTGTATATCTTTGATTCACTTTGTTGTTGATCAATACAGTTTTTATGTAATTATGCCTTGCTTTTTTATCTGTGCATGCATGTGTGTGTGTGTGTGTGTGTGTGTGTGTGTGTGTGTGCATGCGTGTGTATGTATGTGTGTTTTGAATACAACCCATCCTACGCATGCAGGAACAGATGACGTGATGGTGTGTGAGTTCAGATTGCAGACACTGACGATGACTGGACTGATGTGTAGCGGGGTTGTTTTTCTTGTTTAGTTATTGTGAACATGTCTCAATTGTGTACATGTATATATATATATAAGTGTATATATATA